TGCCGCTTCGCCTACGAGGAACTATTGTTCCTTGGCCACGTTATCAGCAAGTCGGGAGTGCTCCCTGATCCACAGAAAACAGCTGCGATAGCCGACTTTCCTGCACCCACCGACAAGAAAGCAGTACGCCGATTTCTTGGCCTCTGCGCTTATTACAGGCGCTTCGTGAAGAACTTTTCGCGGATCGCCGAGCCACTGACGTACCTCACGAAGGCCGACGTCGACTTCAAATGGGAAACGCTGCAAGTCGAGGCATTTCAAGAATTAAAGCGACGCCTGCAAACGCCGCCAATACTGGCGCACTTCGACGAAGAAGCTGACACCGAAATTCACACGGACGCAAGCAGCACAGGGCTCGGCGCCGTGATCGTGCAGAGGACCGACGGACTTGAAAGGGTCATCAGTTACGCTAGCCGGTCACTTTCGAAGGCAGAAGCCAATTATTCCACGACAGAAAAGGAATGCCTTGCCATCATCTGGGCTACATCAAAGTTCCGCCCCTACCTGTACGGCAGGCCTTTCAAAGTCGTGAGTGACCACCACGCCTTGTGTTGGCTAGCTAACTTGAAGGATCCATCAGGGCGCCTCGCACGGTGGAGTCTCAGACTACAAGAATTTGACATCACCATCGTCTACAAGAGCGGACGAAAGCACTCCGACGCCGACTGCTTGTCTCGCGCCCCTGTCGATCCGCCGCCCCAGGATGACCAGGACGACGACTCTTTCCTGGGACCCATAAGTACCGACGACTACGCGGAACGCCAACGAGCTGACCCGGAGCTCAAGATCCTCATGGACTACCTGCAAGGCAAGACCGCCGACGTGCCAAAAGTATTCCGTCGAGGACTGGCTTCGTTTTTCCTGCGAAACAACGTCCTCCTGAAGAAAAACTTCTCGCCGCTCCGTGCCGACCACCTCCTCGTGGTACCTTCAGCGTTACGTTCAGAGGTTCTGGAAGCTTTACACGACGACCCGACAGCCGGACATCTTGGTGTTTCCCGCACACTGTCACGAATACAAGAGAAGTACTATTGGCCTCGCCTCGCTGCCGACGTCGCCCACTACGTAAAAACATGCAGAGACTGTCAGCGACGCAAGACGCCGACAACTAGGTTAGCCGGACTTCTGCAACCCGTCGAACCACCTCAACGGCCATTCCAACAAATCGGCATGGACTTACTGGGGCCGTTCCCGACGTCAACTTCTGGCAACAAATGGATTGTCGTAGCGACTGACTACCTCACCCGCTATGCCGAAACAAGGGCCTTGTCCAAGGGCACTGCCGCCGAGGTCGCCATGTTCTTCATTGAGAACATCGTCCTCCGCCACGGAGCCCCCGAGGTCCTCATCACCGATAGAGGTACGGCCTTTACGGCTGACCTAACGCAAGCGATCTTGAGGTACTGTCAGACAAGCCACCGCCGAACCACCGCGTACCACCCACAGACGAATGGCCTCACCGAGCGTCTAAATAAGACCATCGCCGACATGCTGGCCATGTACGTGGACGTCGAGCACAAGACGTGGGACGCCATACTCCCGTATGTAACCTTCGCGTACAACACGGCCGTGCAGGAAACGACGCAGTTTGCTCCATACAAGCTCGTCTACGGACGGAGCCCAACAACGACGCTTGACGCCATGCTACCGGTCGGCACCGACGAAGAAGACCTCGACGTCGCCAGCTACCTGGATCGCGCTGAAGAAGCTCGACAGCTAGCCCGCCTGCGTATCAAGAGCCAACAGACGGTCGACAGGCGCCACTACAACCTTCGACGACACCACACCGAATACCAACCAGGTGACCTTGTCTGGGTCTGGACGCCGATACGACGACGGGGATTGTCTGAGAAGCTCCTGCGACGCTACTTTGGACCCTACAAGGTAGTCCGACGTCGTGGTGAACTGGACTATGAGGTCGTGCCCGATGGCTTAACGTCATCCCAACGACGCCGAGTACGACCCGAAGTCGTACACGTGGTGCGACTTAAACCTTATTACGCGCGCTGATTAGCTGTGACGCATTGTTAATGTAATTTATTGCATGTACTCTCTCTTATGTTCTGTCTTTAGCATCGGGACGATGCTTTTTCAGAGGGGGGTAGTGACACGTGCGGTTCTTTTGGTTTACGAAGGAAGACGCTATCACTTTCTGTTAAGCGCAACGCAGGCCGCGTTTATCTTGTATGCCACTCTGGAACGCGTTACGACGCGTGTATAAAAAACTGACACGTGCGGTTCTTTTCGTTTGCGAAGGAAGACGCTATCACTTTCTGTTAAGCGCAACGCAGGCCGCGTTTATCTTGTATGCCACTTTGGAACGCGTTACGACGCGTGTATAAAAAGCCGGCGCAGTGCGCCACTGGGCGTCTTTTCTTTTTTTCCGTCGGCCGACGACTGTTCACGCCGCTGTTGCTATGAGTTGTGTTTGGCCCCGTTTTGCTGGGCACAAGTTCGCCCAATAAACAGTTCGCCTGACACCGCCCTGACTCCTGCGTGCTTCCTCTCAAGTGCTGCGTGTTTCACAACCTCGTGACAATATCATTGATCCCAGGCTTAATTCGTCTAGTGCGAATGATATGGGTGCCAGCATTGTAGTATACTTATAAGTGAGATGGCTGACCCACTCGCGCGAGCATCTCTTGAACTTGCGATTGTGCCAATCATGCCTCTTAAAGCTTATGTAACAGCAGCGAGGTTCAGAAAACTTTCCCTTCTTGAGGACTTATCAATGATTAAGATACCGAATCCAGATTTCACGCACCTGTACTTCGCATGGAAGAATAAATGGTGTCCCATGCGTAAATTGGAAGTCTCCGTAAAAAAATTACGATGCCATGTACCACCTCTAATTTCTACTCAAACAGGTCTGGTAGGATGCCTTCTCCCCTGTGCTCAATCTATAATGAACCTGAAATTATTATAATGAACCAGAAATTTCTTTCTCCACGCGACTGTTGTAAAAAGCGAAGAAAAAATTTTTTCGAAATTTTATTCAATCAGTTAGGAATTTCACTTACTTCGACGAATATTTTGTCCTTCCAGGCTGCATCATTAGGACACAGCGACAGGAAGATATGAGAGGCTTTCTGCGAATTCTTATGTGACAGAAGAAGATTACCTTGCTGAGTCATTGCTCACCTCGCCATTATTACTAAACAATCTGACATTTATTATTTCATTATTAAACTGTAATGTCTTGACCTTCAGAAGAAATCTATATAATGATTACGCCTCAGTCATTCAAGAAATCCTCTTATTTCTTTACTTTCACTTTTATTTTCACACTGTGCCAAAATAATTCCGTCTTGTCAAAACAAAGTAATCATGTTTCCTTCGCCTAGACAGTCCAAAGTTGTTGACTTACAATAACCGCCGGCTTCTTGGCAAATCTCCTCTAGTGGGTAAGAGCCACAAGACAGGATGAAGTAAGCAAGCAAGCAAGTTGACAATAGTATCTAGAAATACCACTCGGCCAGCTTGATTGATTGCTTTATTTGTGGAGTTTAACGTCACAAAACCACCATATGATTATGAGAGACGCCGTTGTGGAGGGCTCCGGAAATTTCGACCACCTGGGGTTCTTTAACGTGCACCCAATCTGAGCACACGTGCCTGCGACATTTCCGCCTCCATCAGAAATGCAGCCGCCGCAGCCGGGATACGATCCTGCGACCGGCGGGTCAGCAGCCGAGTACCTTAACCACTAGACCACCGCGGTGGGGCCACTCGGCCAGCTTTCGCTATGACATTGCAGGAATTTCCACGCAGGTCTGGATTTTTTCCTTCCCTTTCTCTTTGTTTGTCCTTTTGTTTTTCACCCCCTCCCAATGTATACTCTATAGTTTCTCTACCGTATTTCTTTTCTCTTTGTTTCCTTGCTAAATCTCACTGCTTTGGAAATATATCCTTTTCTGTTTCGTTTTTTTCTCTAGCTCTCTCATAGCATAGCCATGGCGCACACGTATCAGTACCTAAGCCAGCAGAGAAGAAAAATGTATTGGAAAGTGGGACCCATATTTACAAGCAGCCGAGTGGCGGGACCAAAGCGAGGAGCACGTGCTAGCAGAGATAGGGAGATGTGGTGCTGGCAAGCCAGATGCTGAGATAACAAGTGTGCACACGCAAACAACTCGCGAACATGTACCATCACTTTCCCCTTTGAAATGAAAGCGTTGTACTGGCTCAGTGCGTTCTTTTGCTGAAGGGCATAGGGCGTGTTGCCGGATAACGGCATTCATCGAGACTGCCGAAATGTTAGGTGGCGCTAGTTGCGAAGAACCTCTATCATTCGGGACAAGCTGAGAAGACGTGGAAGCACCAGGTAACATGTTGACAGGTAATTTTGAGTGTTTTGTATTTATTCATAAAAAATCTTCATTGAATCACGTAAAGCGTGTAGTTGTTGTGTTGTTAAGTGATCACTCATAGAGAGGATCAAAAGGGGCAAAATTAGGAACCTCTGTATATTGATACGTATCCCCTTTGTTGTTGTTGTTGTTGTTGTTGTTGTTGTTGTTGTTGTTGTTGTTGTTGTTGTTGTTGTTGTTTTGAATGTGCCGGAGTGCCTAGCGATAAATGGTTGCTTTCTGTTAAGATGTCCATTGACAGGCTTTATTTTTTGTGTGTCTTGATATATCATTGACGACATGAAGGTGTCGGTAGACCTCGCACTAGTGGCGTGTATACAACGGCGTTCACCGTACAACTAGCATCGAGATGTTTTAGTACCATTTGGCATACGAAGCCCAAGTGGGATAAGATATCTGTGGTTTAAGCGTGAGGGAAAGAGACCCAGATAATCTTTATTTCTTAACAATTCTTAGCCCAAGTAGTTGCACTCGTAGCCGAGTATCCTGCTTTTCAGATGTGTGCTTTTGTGCGGACCTGCTGTGCGGTTCTTGAGGATTACGATCTTCCGGCACAGTATAGAACGCAACTCGCTTGTTCCCGTGATCCTGCTTTCCTGTACGCTTGCAACAGGTGGTGGCTGGTTGAATTGTTCCAAAACGTGTACCATATAGGCAATGGCATGGTGAATTTTAAAATAAACTGGAGGTAAGCTGCTTATTTCTCACATACTCAGCATGCTAGTTGCGAGCATTTGTGCTGAGTTTAAAATATATGACGTCACACGGCGATTTTGGCGTGAAATATAAAACCGATACTCTTACATTGATTTTCTCTTCTATTAATAAGCCTGTTATAGAGAAATAACGTGGTTAACATAACGACATCAGAGTAGCGCACAATTACTCAATACAAACCAATTTCATGTTGCACTTCAAGTGTCTTGTTTAGTATAAAGCGATAGCAGGTGCTGGCAGTGATCACCACGCTAGGAAAGAGAAAATCGTTGTAATTTGCGAACTGTTTCAAGCGATCTTTTATCAAGAAGGACTGTGATAATTGTGGAAATTGGTTTGTTACTTCTGTTGTTGTTATATACCGTGCACAGATATGCATGGTCAACACATGAAGCGCTAAGCACAAGTCAACATTGGCGGGATGGTAGTGCATTCTATAATTTACTATGGTGTCTCAAACAACTTTTGTTGGTCGTGCAATGTGAAGAAGGCGACATATTTTTTCCCTACTTCCTGCGAAAAAAAGGGCGCTGGTATGATCATCACGCTCTGTCCAGTCTATCATCACAATTGGTAACCTCCAATTAGATATTTTCCCTCTTGTGGCTAAAATCCCAGCAGCTATTTCAGTAATAGTGGTCCGCAAGGTTTCGGTATCGTCACCGTAATAGGTCTTATAATTGAATACAGTTAATTGGCTGTTTCTCTGTTTCTGCTAGCTATTTCACAGATCTTCATTATTTCTGTGTGGAAAATTATCCGATCCAGGTTTGTAGACCGCCATAGAAGCAGCACGGTGGTTTTTATTGGTGCGCTTTCTGATTGTAGATTGATGCTAGTCTCATGTGACTGGCAGTATATTTATATTCATAGTTTTAAGAGGGGCACGGCTTTTATTATTCACTATAAACAATCGTGCTAGTGGAACTGATGTAGTTCAATACGGATGCCGAGCCTCAATTTTATGGCTTTCCAGGATAGCGCAGCTTCTGCACTGCAATATTCAATTTCCAGGTGCTCATGAGATTTTTCTTCTGATATACTCAACATCGCGATGAGTTGTTTGTCAGACAACGGACCATGACATAAAGTGAAGGTTCGATCTTCTTTCTTTGTGGCAGCTGATGTGTACTGGTCGTCATAAGTTCGCAAGGCACTCTGCCATGTGAATAAATGAAATAGTGGCCTGCAAACTTCAAAGGGACTGTCCACTGCTCGGAACAGTTCTTTCTGATTGTGGCCTAAATGAAAAGATTGTTCATCAGATCGGTGGCAACCTGCATGCTTTCTTCTGTAAAAAAAAATTATAATTTTAACTTGATGTTGAAAGCCTACGAAAGATGACCGCTAGCGTCACCCAACAGCAATGAGGTCGATGTAGCATTAGGAACAAAAAATCCCCGCAGGCTCTCTCTTATGCGTAAAAAAACAAACGTGTATAGCTTGAAATGTATTTCGCGCGTTTTAGGCAGCTGTAGGTTGTGCAAGATACTAATCTGCTTTTTTTTCTGAAGCTTTAAAAAAGGCGCCAGGTAGCGCACCTGGCGGTGTGTTCGCTTGCCTGCCTGCAAACGGCGGAGAAACGCGAGCACGGCGTCAACCACTGCTCATGAGGACAACAAAAACGTGTGTGCATGCCTAAAACGACCACTAAAGTATTCGTTTCAATAATACACAAACCTTGATAAAGCCTCCTAGAACCACCCGCGGTTTCAGTTTTCAACTTTTAACTGCAGCAGAATGGTCATCGCCGCTACCGACCAGTGTTGTGGCCATTCATACCACCAATGGGGGAAGACCGAACGCAGATCGAACAATTCTGTTCTAGAAATTTCTATACACTTTCAATACAAAAAATTGAAACGTTAGGAACTTGAGGTGGTACGGTTTTTATTGCTACAAAAATAACAGAAAAGCAGTGAAGGATGGTAGACAGTCCCCTTAAACTCAGCCCCCTCCGACATGGCTTTCATTCATTGATTTTTCTGAACTAATTAGACCAAGTGATAGACAATTGTGCTTGAGATAGGGGGCTTTGAATAAAGAAAAACAGAGAAAATACAAAAACGATTGAGTCAGGTAATACGGAGCCTACGGATTTCGGCGCACCGCAACCAAGGCCCACCATGTGTGCATGCTTATCTAGGCCTTGCGGCCTCATTTACTGCTGAGCCCTGCACCCCAATTCTACAATAATAATAATAATAATAATAATAATAATAATAATAATAATAATAATAATAATAATAATAATAATAATAATAATAATATTGCGCCACACCTGAAACGTAGCCCACCTGCTCCTCAAGTGTCCATGCAATACACGTACAGACCTATCGCCTCCGCCGAATGCCTGCGACGCTGTTCAAGAAAACGAACACCTTCTCGAAACTTGGGAGGCCAAGCTTGCTTTGGAGGACCTGGACCAACAACGACGTCTCGTCACCAGGGCCATGGAGGCTGCGAAAGCCAGAGGGTTTTTTGAATGAGGAGACCTCCCACCTACACGCTGAACCTACACCACTACAACGTTTCTAAAAATAAACGTTTATTCCTCCTGATCCTTTCATGGATACATTTCTTGTAGGACAGCTTCAGGTAAAAGCTGTTTTACGAAAGAGGCAGCAAGACAAAGGCCTGAAGCCACGTTTGAACGCGATGAAAAACTGATTTAGTCATCTGATACTCACGCTTTACCCAAACATTTGAAGGGAATATCGAGGGACATTGGTAAAAGAACAATACCTTATGGTATTTCTTTGTCTACGGGAAATAACTCTGACGCATGCCTGTTACGGACCAAGATTCATCAACCTATGTCAGAGAGCAAGCAGTGCATGCACGGCAGTGCCTCTTTACTTCAACAGCCACAGCAAAAATGCTCCGAATGGCGATATGCACGCAATATCGAAGGCTTTTGCATATTTATCCTAATGATCACTTGAGCTTCAACTGCGCACTATGCGCCTAATGAGTTTGAAAGGGTTGACGTTTGGGCAAGTTGGTACAGATCCATTGCAAGAAGTTCATCGCAGGTATAAAATCCTAAACATGATTGGCCAAGCAAAAACAAAGAGAGAAGCTGGCTTTCAGCAAAGCACTCTTTCTGCTTTTGTCTTGTCCCTTTACAAACCTTCTTTGCTTGCTGACATGGGCTCCGGAAGTTTATCTAATGTCTGGAGGTGACCCCGACGACGTCTGTGGGCAGAAGTCGCACTCATCGCCTCTCTCTTTTTATATATATATATATATATATATATATAATATATATATATATATACACATATATATTATGTGTGTGTATAATAATATATATATATATATATATAAATTATTTTTCTGGAACAAGTAATTACTAAAAAGAATGAAGCTTTGGATCACAAATATGACGTCACTGCCTGGTTTTCATAATTTTCTCGTGTGCCGGGAGAATACACACGCTTTCTAGTTCCCTCTTTCCCCCTCCCGACACCCTCGGGCTTTTTTCCTTGTGTTTTGTGCCTCACCAGGGGTCTATATCAGCCGGATGACGCTTATATCACCTCATGAAGCCACCATAACACGTTTAGGTCAAACATCGAATGCAAAATATGGAACTGTGTTTGCAGAAAAGAATGTATCATTGTAGCTTACCAAATCAATGAAGCAGTCATTGATGTCGATGTTATTTGCTCGCCTGCTCTCTTCAGACAGTGGGCAAAAATGGGCGTGTGGGGTAACTTTCCCGCTTTGGCGTCTGATGCTCACAGTCAGTTAGGGGCCTTCAAGGTGATGTAACCAGAAATATGAGGTTGAGATAGAATGAAGAAGGATATCGAAGAAAGCGTGCATGTTTCTTTGGGTGTGGGAAGATGACTTATTACGGGTGGATGGCGTAAGCAAAGACCCAGTATCCCTTGATTGCTCTTGCCAGATATTCGGTGCTGCAGCGATGTGGTCTCAAATCTCGTTGCTCTCTGCGAGCTAGAAAACACCAGGATATGCCACTACGTGTGCAAATGGCTGCCAATGCATGACCACGCCTTTCTTGAAGCGTGATGGATGTAGTTACAGGCCTTGAACTTCGTAGAGATCTCACCACGGAAGTAGGATTGCATTTTAGTGAGTGTGGAATTATCCTCGAATTATCGCGGCCGCTCCTTGCGCACATGATGTCTGACAGGAATCGACGAAAAACGATGCCTCATTTTCATTGAGAGCAAGTCACCATATGATATTTGTATACACACGTATTTATTTTGTGTTTTGACTGAGGGCGATTTCCCCTACGACAACTGGAGGATAAGTGCGGCTGAGCAGTGAAGGCAAGGCTGGCACAGCCACCTAATCCACCTGTGGAAAGCGGCACGCGAAAAAAAAAGCAGTAGGAGGGTGCCAGTGAGCATAAATATACATCATGACCAATACCATCGAAGTGCCATAGTTGTCTGTGGGACAGTGGCAGAACACGTGTGAAGTCCGACGCAACTGCAAAGTTCGTTCGTATAAACGACGTCAACATGACTGGGGTCAAAATATACCTGGCTGCCGCCATCACCACCGCACTCACCACGAGAAGCAAAATGAAGATGAGTGCATAAGATACCACGACCAATAGTTTCGGACAAATTGCTACGGGAGTGCGTTTTCTATCACTAAGAGAAATTTGAACAGGTGTTCGTAAATATATCCTTCAACTTTTCGCTACTTTCTTGCTTGTTAATGTCAGTTTATAGTATAGAATGACATGAATGTGTTCGTAATGAGTTGATAGTTCATTACAGTTGACCATGGTCCTATGTACCCTGACGGTTAAAATCGTGCGTAGGTTGAAATAAGCTTACGCTGACCCTTTTAAAAACAGTTACGCCCTACATTCGCGCTATTTCAAACAACCTCAAGAAGATAAGATCAGAACACTGCGTAAACCTCATATTCGCAGCACGCTCTAAGCTTTCCTTTTTGTGTACCCTTGTTAGATAACAAGACAAGAGAATAGTGTGCGAAAAAAAACATGAGAAGACATGTGTGCTACGGAAGTGGTGTATAAGATCCTATTCAGCTGTACTAACGCCATAAGCCAAACACCGATGTCTTCAAGGCCAAGTAAGAGAAGAGTATATAAACTTCGCTGAAGGCTCCAGATCGCGGGGTACCCTCTACTGCGCATTGTGGTTGCACAGTGCATTTCGAGGAAGCAGAGGTCATGAGTCGAGCAAAGGATCGGTGTAAAAAGGAAATTCTCGTGGTGAAACAGACTTATATTTCAGCAGATCTGTGCATCGGTGCGCCTTTGGTGCAACTTGATGATAACGGAAATGAAATTGCTTTAAAAAGCAAGTGAATATTTTAAGTGTTGAAATGCACCGTCCTTCAAGCTTTCTCTCTAGGCTGTTACCAGTTTTGAAAGCGATTAGGCAATATTGCTGTGATGGTGTCTATTGTGAATGCGTTTCCGCATAAGGTTCCCTGGTAGGAAGCTCGTAATAGATTTGTTTACAAGCCAGCGTCTTTTCTGTCCAGTATTCTTACTTGCCAACCCAATTTGTGCTCCCCCATACAAGACCTTCTTATTTATCTGATTGCTTTTCGTAGAACTGAACAAAAGCAACGAAAGCAGAAGAGAGCGATAGAGATTCTAAAGTTGTGGCGCTGAGACGTGCAGCTGCAAGCGCATGTCTCAGCGCCACGACTTTAGGATTTCTCTCGCTCTGGACAGAGCGCCTGCCTTTACCTCCTTAGGAACCACTTCAGTACGAAGGATTCTTTAAACCAGACCAAAACAATCCGTACTGTATACGCATACGAATCAGCTCTGAATAGAGTGTTTCTTTATAAAATAATGCTTCCTTATTGGGAGAAAAGCAGCCCTCCTTTAAATAGTCAAAGGAAGCTCTAGCCACACTGGTGGCTGCAGAGGAAACAGCCATCGAGGGGACGTGTTTGAACATCCTTGAGCGTGAAACCTACCGCACTGGTTTTTATAGTGTGGGGATGACAGCCTCTATGGTGCTGTCGGTTCCGCAGCCCCTCCGCTTTGAATATTTTGCGATATACGTGCATATCGCCTGTTCGCCTAATATATGTCATATAAATTGAGTGTCGGTATTCTTTCAAAAACAGGCAATTGGTATTGAAACTGGTCTAGCTTGTGACATCCTTCGGTGATGATGGATTACCACCCTATTTATTTGATTTGATTAAAAAAAACGTTGAGATGGCACGCACATTGTTCAGTTTACTGGGAATTAGCGGTGAGTGAATATTTGAAGTTTCAAGTATGTTTGAAATCATGTTTGCTATTTAAATCGATTTAATACATTCAAACAAGTAATCGAACTTCCCGAACACAAATGCAGTCAACCTCAAATTGGCAGGGGTCGTTTTAAATGTTTTTGTTCTTCACCTCTTTTTTTTTTGCGCACTGCTGTAAAGGTGCTTTTCAAGTTCTCTGAAGGTCGTAAAGATATTGGCTTAAAGAAATGCTGGTTTCAAGAGAAAGACAATCGACGCCGCAGAACAAGGGGTTCAATTATTGCTGTTTTCGACTTGAAATTTGGAGACAAAGGCAGAAAAATTGGACGCTGAAGATTTTAGCACATGAAATTATGGATGTCAATATAAACACAATTATTAAGTCTATATCAACAAGGTAGATTAGGCACTTCGAATTGCGACACCATATTGGTTGCACCAAATCACGCAAATAAATAAAACATGGCCTTTGATATACCTAATTCTTGATAACACAACATAGACCGCCATCCCTCCAGCACTTCATGACCTAGCCAAAAGAAACACTTTCGGATTTTTATTTCGTGCAACAGTGCTCATTGATCTTTGGTGGCATTTTTTTCTGTAATTTCACTTAGATCTATATTGAAATGTAAAGCAAATATTCGACACCTTTTCAAATAATATTCGATTTGATTCGCACTCAAATTATGTCATTTGTATCAACTCAGAATCGAAAATTTTTCTGATAGCACAGCTACACTAGGAAGTTTTACTGGTGGCCGAGAAATGGTTGTAAGTATTTTATTACGAACGGTATTTCACTCTATTTTAATAGCGTACTCATGATAATCAGTTGTTATTAGTCGCCGCTGATTAGACAATTTTACATGACGTCGTAAGGGAACTCTGCAGATGCTGTCCGGAATGTTGTTTGAAGAAATACCATATTGCATGAACTCACAATAGCAATTGAATGAATTTGTGCAGTAAAACGTGGGTGAAAATAGTATAGACCAGTTCTTCGTGCGAGTGATATGATTTGTGTCCCAGCTGAATGGTACATCGTTTGCTATGTCATTTTTATTGTCAAGAACTATGTTTCCTTGGCGATTTCTCAAATAAACACCGTGAATTGTTGGGATGGTATTAAAACCAATCGTATTGGTTGAATGTCAAATGGCTTTCCTGCGGTAGTAACGCGTGCGATGAGCTATCAGGCATATAACACTTTAGGGGCCCGGCACCTCGGCGTCTCCAGAAATAACGGTGTATTGTATAGTGGAGTGAGGTAGTCATGCCATCATTCCGTCACGACGTCATAAGGGCGACTAATTTGTGACGCAATTGTGACGTGATCATTACGTGACGCAGCATCATAAAGGCTCTAAGCTCTTGGGCGTCTATTGTAGTCAAGGCCACGTCATGCTGTCACGTTCAATCATAAATATGAGTATGAGCTACAAAATCTGGCTCACTCCCAATACTTGCTACCGGTGCACTAAAATTTATTAAGCACGCAGTTTAGAAGAATCATCTGGATGAGCCTTTCAGATTCAGTAGCATGATACGTGATGTGCTATGGTTTGAAAGTGCGTCTCACTTTTGTGTTTTGTATTAATAGCTCAGTCGACCATTCACCTTCCACGGTACAGTGATACCGCTATTGTTTTCGGGAACGATTACGCCAATAAATACACCTCATGAGTACGCGTACAGTTTCATATGCATGATCGCATGTCATTTGTGCACGTTGTCACAGAATGTAAAAATATAAACTCAGTGTCCTCGTAACTTACTGGCCGACTGTTCCGCTACAGTCTGCCAAGTGTACAAGATAAAAACTTCGTGTGCTTTTTGTGGATAGTAAAATCGTATTGAACATTATAAAAACATGCGAGACTCAACATTTCACATTCTTTCTCTATGTTGCAGAGTAACGACGAACACAGTGGTCATTTTTGTACGTTAAAGCAGCAGCTTTGGTAATGTTGTGGTGCGCGGCCGAAAACAAATATTTTCGAATTAATGCTGGCATTCAATATTCGCTGACAGTGCAGCAGGTATTCATGATTTGCCGTGACGTAAGTTACACAAAATTTGAAAATATATCCAACTTACCACTTATTTATTTCTTTATTTATTTATTTATTCAGAATACCTTACAGGCCCACTGAAGGGCATTGAGTAAGGGGAGCATCAGTATACAAATGAAATAACAATAAAGGAGAAAAGCAGACGAAAAAATATATACACATATAAAAGATTACAAAAACCAAGGTGCAACAGCGTTATACAATACTAGAGTGCAACGAAATCAGGTTGTCACGAAAAATTTCATGGTTACAAATGGATACAACATGATCCGGAAGACCGTTTCAATATGCAATGGCTTTCAATTACTTCCTAAAATATCTCAATTCAAACAACAGAGAAGTTCAAATCAATATGAAAGCTTGAAATGACGAGAAAACTTTCATCCACAAACGTTGCTGGATCCAACGTTTCGTAAATGCAACTCGTATTTGTTAAGATAGCAACTACCTGCCTTAACAGCATGTATGCGTAAGCTTTCCACGATAGGTTGACATACCAATCTTCGTGAATATTCCGCTGTGTGTGTGTGTGTGTGTGTGTGTGTGTGTGTGTGTGTGTGTGTGTGTGTGTGTGTGTGTGTGTGTGTGTGTGTGTGTGTGTGTGTGTGTGTGTGTGTGTGTGTGTGTGTGTTTTTCATTTTGCACGTGTTCTCTCTTCTCCAGTTTTGTGACAGGGAAATGGCATGCAAAGGGTACGCATACACGCCGCTTAGAGGGGTAGTTAGCGCCAGGACGGGGACAAGTCCTCCTTTTGAAACGCTGGGGACAGTGACGTTCTCTGTTGTAACATTTCTCATTGCTTCAACAAGAGATTGCGTAACTTACCGAACAAACCAGCCTCTGGTTCAACGTACAATGCTTGGGGAGTGAGTAGACGCTTACCAACATACAGCTGCACACGCCAGCCACCCTTGTCCATTTTGAGTACGCTGAGAGCCTTGTCTCCCACTCCGATCGTAAGCAGCAAAAACTAAAACGAAATTCCATGGCATTTTGACATTCCCTTGCATCATACCAATTAGTATGATACGCCTGAGAAAGAGTCTGTTTTTTATTTTCTCATTTTTTTCTGATACTGTCCCCTCGTAGCTCACGTGTGTAAAAGAGACAGCGATGTGACAGCCGCGGATTCATCCATCCCTGCATTCCTGTCAGAGGTGCGCATGTGACCTCACTCTGTGAGTTAACACGGTGCCTAGACAGCCTCCGACAGACCACGGTAAGTATAGGCATGATTACTAGCTCGCTTTGTTCGCACGTTTACTAGGCTCGACAAATTGTATTTAAATGTGTGGAATTGTATTACCCCAGGGACCTCATGACCGACGTTAGTTACAAACAGAACAATGTTTTCACATATTGTCTAGTAGTGTATAAATAAAAACACAGAAATAGACTGCCCAAAGTGGTTTTCATATGGGCACAGCATCAACTTACGTGGCTGTTTGCGCCCCGAGAGTTTGCCTACGGTGAGTAGGCAGCGACATAACTCAAGTGAAGGTAACGATAACGTGTGTCGCGTTCTGCCTATAAATGGAGTGCTTGACTTTTGGTTTTCTTTTATTTTAATAATTTTTTGTGAATTGTCACCACACGTGAAAGATAATAAATATCCAAGAACAATATTGGACGCCCTTTCATACATCCGATTGTTGCCCTGACAACAAATTTTGATTGTTTTCAACAGGCGAAGTTTTGACGCATAGTGCTGTTCGTCTAGAATGAACGTTTCTGTTTAATAATTCTGCTAAAAAGCCTTCTTTAGGAATCTTTCTTAGAAGCCTGTTCAGCTTTTTCTTGCAAGGAAAGTAATATTCAGTTCATAAAACGAGTGTTTGAATGTCTCAGAATAGTCAACAAAAACTAATTGTTTTTATTTGGCAGCTACTACTTAATCAGACCCAGTAAATTCACGATAAAAGCAGACCCCGTAACGCATGATGTAATTCGAAGTCAAATAGCTGATTGTGTTATGGAATACAAGGACGCTTTTGTTTCCGCACTCACTCTGTCAGGCTTCGCTTTTGGCGTACAGGTTACGATGTCGGGAGCTGTACACCTACGTCGTGTTACCGTGGACACCTGCTGGAGCGTTCCGGTTCTGGCTGCTCTAATGACTCTGCTGGTCTGCATGCCGTCATCGTACATGGGCCTTGTGTTTGTCTATGTCGTGGAAGACTATGGTGTGAGCCGCGCTTTGGCATCGTGGACGCAAACCGGGCTCTTCGTTGCGGTGCACCTCTCAGGCAAGTCAACTGACTTGACCAGGCTTCCCGGACAATGTGCAGCACTCTTGGTATCGCGCGATGGTAAAACAATCACAATACCAAGGTAGTTTTAGTGAGGCAGGTATTGTTATTAACGTCAACACGTGCCTCTGTTTTTAGTGCTCCACACAGCACAGACACCATCTGTCTGTGCTGCGGGAGCACTATGTTTTCAAAAATTTTCTTTCCTGTCTGCATTGGTACACTTCAAGTGGTTTGTGTTGCTAGTTCGCTATAGCCCAAACTACGGAACTATGTGAAGAAAACAAAAAATCAATAACAAGTACTGGCAACATAATTTACCCTAAGCAACTGATAATGACCTGAGCTATTCATAAAAATATTTTCGTTACAACCTTTTCACTACTGTTTGAAAGCATACTTATGAGTTAATAAAGCGATTCTAAGAGCTAACTTTGTAAACTGGAGGTTTCGTACAGATCAAATGACACGTTCAACGGATGGATTGTGCATCTTTTGTAATACACATTTTTTTGTTCCTTTATGTGGCATGATGGCTTAAGACGAGTATGCTTATTTCACGATGGACTAGCGTAAACAGGCGTTCTTAAAGGGCCAGTGGAAAAGCTGTAATAGTTTGAAAACCTACTGTACAAAATCAATCACCAGGAGTTGTTGCACTATATCAATAATACAAGCCAATACTATGATTACTATAACTGTTAACTGCTACTTTTCACCAACTCTGTACAGTAGAGCCAAATAATACTTCTTCAGAGGATAAAGGGCACCATCGGAGGTCAAGGGATAACCTGAACTAGCCATGCAATCTTGTGCATAAAATAGTAAACTCTAAACTGTTCTTTGAATCAACTAAAGGTAGTTTTAGTAGAAGTAGTGACGAGTCGTAGATAATAAATGAAGTCAGACTTTGTTGAATACTACTGCGTAATGAACAACGAGTAGTAGTGCGTAATGAATTGTACTGCGTAAATGCTTCAACACAGATTTTAACGTTCAATACACAACTTCACTTTGATAGACAAAAACCGAAAAGCGGCTCTTGCTCTAAAGCGCAATAATAAACAGCTACTTGCGCAAACTAAGTTTAAAAAAATTAATTACACATAAAAAACTAACGTAGTGTACTGAGCGCTATAGGTAAATTGTATACTCCGACGTTGTGTCCATAAGCTTTGGCATGCTTGAAATATAACTATAATTATATATTGGCTTTCTTTATGAAGATAAAGGAGAGTATTTGGCAGAAAGTGATACGTGTCATGTATGAATGTCAATTTAATGGCTTTGTGTATACAATCATGTTGAGACGCGTCTGTTCCCAATCTATTTTGCTAAAACAATTAGTGGCTCAGAACAATGAGCATGAGTTCCCATCAGTCAAAAAGCTTTAATAATGTTGTTTAAGGGAAAATATTTCGTTAAGGAAAAAGACACCGTTGACAAAAATGAAAAAGCTGGAATAATATAAAAAAAGAATAAACACATCAAATGGGAATTCGGAATATGTTAAACTAAGCTCGAATAAAGAATTTCACTTTGGCAACACTGTCGTCAATATATGCACGGCTGTAAACCTTTTTGGGTGATTAGTGTCAGTAATCACAATAGCATGGAATTTCGCAATAGCGTAAAAAGTTTTTAGCTCAATGTAGTAAACGCTTCGGTAGACGTATTTGGGCGATCTAGATCGACTGTCATGCTCATCATTGTAACTACTATTAAAGTAACCGTCGCGAACACACTCGTGTGTACAATCTGAAAACTAAAGGACTTCACCGGGTGTGCCCAGAAATGCAGGTACATGTCACAACACTCGGCCAGTGAACTCATAAAAGTGGCCGCTGTCTTGTGTTAAACGCATGGTTTGTTTGCATTTGTCCCTTCCAACTTGTCAGTAAAAGTAGGCAAATGATTGGCATGCACATTCTCGTGAAGCACATTGACCTAGCTGCGAAAAAAAAAGCATTCACGAATGTGCTTCAAAACAAAGGTACTTGTCTGCAGGTCTGCATGCGCGAGTGTTGGGAAATGAACAATCATTTGATGCTGATATCCGCAAGGTAATGAAAAGGGAGAATTGAGCACTCGAGAGAAAATGACGGGGTAACGACAACAACGCAGTAATGTAAGCTCAGGCGTATCTCAAATTTACTAACCAAGCGACTGAGACTTGTTTGAGAGGTTGTGACTGTGCCCTAAAAAGCAGCTATGATAGGACAAGGTTCCCGTGCAGGACGTGCGAGCAGGTTGTCACTGGAATATTAGCTGACACGCTCTGCTGAACCACCGGGAAGAAATAATTGAACACGCACACCTGATGGGAATGTAAGTCCCCTTTCTTACTCTTTTTTTAGGACTTCTGGTGGGCGCACTTCAGCAGCGAATTTCTCCCCCTAGGATTGCCCTGTTGAGCGGGTTGGTGGCTTCCGCCGGCTTGATTGCATCATCATTTACAAAAGACATAATACTGGTGGCCTTGACACTTGGTATTTTATATGGTAATAAATCATTTGTCTCTTATATTCTGTGTTCAAGAGAATATGCGGTTTTTTGGCCAAAAGTCGTTATCTGAAAATTCACACTGTATACTCGGAACTAAGAATACCTGTAATGATTTGCGGTTGCTCATATGAACAAGATTAATGTAAATGATGTCTCCTGAATTTCGTTTAAAAAATGCGTTTGGCATTTTTACCGAAGCGTTTCGTGGTTGTGGTGTACTATTATAACTAAACCAACCAGTAGAAACATGTTGACTTACCGCTGAAGTATGTGCGTAACATTAGCAATTAAATATCTTTGCAGGTTGTAATAAGTTGGTGTTCTAGATTGAATGATAAAAAACAATTTCTGAAAAAGTCAACTTGCTATCACTGTGTTCTAACCGATGGTCTGGATGACATGCAACGCTTATCATCCAGACCATCTTGATGATAAGCGTTGTAACAAGTCCTCCTCAACTAAAGACACGAATGAACTTCTGATATTATTATGTGTCGTCGAAAAAAACCACATCTCAATAATGTTTCATTTGCTGACATCCAGTTTCTGTATTTATTTCTTGCAGGTCTTGGCATGGGAATGTTCCTCATGTCAGTCTCTATTTACAATATCATGCTTTTTGAGAAGTACAAGGGCACTGCCATGTCAATGACATTTCTTGCCTGGGGCATCGCTGGACTCTACGGACCCGTTTTGCTGTACAAGCTTCGAGAAAGTTACGCCTTGCAAGGCGGCTTACTGATATGTGGAGGGCTACTTTTAAATTCTGTTCCCCTGGCACTGCTTCTCAATAACCCTCCCGGCACAGACTTTAGCAACCTCAAATACGCTATCAGCAACTGTTTCGATCGGAGGACTGCAGTTTCCGCGCGATCAGTCAAGGCAACAGCCCTTCCACTTGATGAGCCATCTGACTTGGCAGTAACCAGTGTTCCTGAAAAAATGCACAGTGAGGTGGACGTACATTGCCAGGATCTTCCGGCTACAGGCAGCTTGCACAGAACTGACATCGAATACACCGCTACAGACAGACTAGGCAGCAAAATCGAGGCTGAAGATTGTTCGGTTTTTGTCACTACGTCACAGAATGGCTCTCCTTCGCGTAGCCGCTTGCAGCCTTTGCTGGAACTGCTGCGAACGCCAGCGTTCTACGTATTTCTCGCCACAACAGTGGTGAGTGAGTATTCTCTGGTTTCCATCGGTACTACTATCGTGGATTACGCTAAAGACAAGGGCATCGAGCTCTCCGTAGCGACGCAACTGATGATCTTCGGAGCAGTAGGACACATACTGGCGCGCTTAACTATCGTGCCATTGTCCGACTGCGCGAAAGGCAGCCGCTTGCCGATGTACGCTGGCGCCTTTGCTTGTGAAGCTGTATCCGCTGCGGCCATGCCACACGTATGCTCAATCGCCGCCCTTACCGTACTGCGCGTCCTAGAGTCCCTAGCGCAGGGCTTTATCCTCTCTGTCCGCACTATCCTGTTGGCACAGTATTTGGGCATCGAAAGAGTAGCCGCCTGCTCTGGCGTCTTCGGACTCGCCATGATTCCAGTGTCCCTCAGCAGCCCAGCTATACTCGGTAAGCGTCTGCTTCCGCAAATACCACTACGAATATGATGAAAACAATGAGTTTCACTTCCTTTGCATTCGAAATGTTTCCCATGAACGACTGACCGCCAGTATATCAAGCACAGCTTGAAAGGTAGTGGAAATACAGAAGCGGGAAGTTTGGTAGTACACAATAAAAGACCAAGCGCCATCAGTAAATTGCTTTCCTACAGAATTAAGAGTGAAAAAAACTGCAATAAGTGTCTATTCACCTTTGCACTGAATGCCTACAAACCATTGGTAACACGAGTTTATTGTTTTTACTCTTCACGGTTTGCTTAGAAATGATGAATAGAAAACTTTGACTCAAACAAAAAATAGGTGCAGCTTACACTGAGCCGTGCAAGGATGAGTTACGTCAAAGCTAGTGGGTACCTAGCTGGTTTGGTCATTCAGTGGCCTTTCACCTCCCTTTATAGTCCTATACTGTGCAGGGCAGGTAGATTGCCACAATCTCTCAGGAGGAAGGTATATAACAGCTGCATCTTGCCGGTACTTAGCTACGGAGCAGAAACCTGGAAACTTACAAAAAGGGTTCAGCTTAAATTGTGGACGACGCAGCGAGCTAAGGAAAGAAAAACGGTTGGTGTAAATTTAAGAAACAAGAAAAGAGCACAGTGGACTAGGGAACAAACGGGGGTTAATGATATCATAGTTGAAATAAAGAAGAGGAAATGGACATGGGCTGGGGAATGTAGCGCGTAGACAGGATAACCGATGGTCGTTAAGGGTAACTAACTGGATTCCCAGAGAAGGAAAGTGGGTTAGGGGGAGACAGAAGTTTAGGTGGGCAGATGAGATTAAGATGTTTGTGGGTATCAATTGGCAGCAGCAAGCGCAGGACCGAGTTAACTGGCGGAAAATGGGAGAGGTTTTTGTTCTGCAGTGGACGTAGTCTGGCTGATGATAATGATGATGATGATGATGATGATGATGATGATGATGATGATGATGATGATGACTATGCATGGCTATTTATCCTCTTTTTTCTTCTACCTCTTTTCCCCATCGCTTTCTATTTTTTGTCTTTTTGTGTTTACTTTTGCACTTCTCTTACTTTTTCCGTAATTTTCTGTAGGTATGTTGCTGTCTCTCCGCTGTCTGATTGTGTAATTATGTACCCTTCTGTAATTTCCTGTATTTTTCTTGCTACTGTTCTCCTCCTTTCTCTATCCTGGTTTCCCTTTCTCTTTGTGTGTTACTCGCCTTCCCCTCCTTGTCACCCGTACATCTCTCCTGCCCACCATCACTTCTCTTTCCTAACACATTGCCATGCAATGGTGTACAAGGCTATGCTATGCTGTGTCTGAATAGCCGAATTTTCACGACGCTCCAGGTGTGTGAGGATATAGAAAACGTTCTCTTAAAAATTCGAATAACGTTTGATTTCATTCAGTACTACAATCGAATAGTGCACATCAGAACTGCCGAATACTTTTAATTATTGTTCAAATAATACGCACGCACAATCTCGAAAGAACGATTCGTAGGAAATGGGAGGCTTAATTTTTTATCACTGCATTGCTATGTCTCTTGCAACCCAATGTTTTATAAGACTATTGACGCCATGTTAGTGTAAGAATTAAGGTGTTTTTGCTTAGATTTCTAGTGTAGATAAAGCGGCAGTCATCAGTTGGCTATTTTGATTGTGACATTGATGATGGTGTGGATTCATCAAAATTTTTGACTTTTTATGTGTCAGTTTCATTTAAAGCAAGTGAGAAAGTGTCAACTTGAATATTAGTCAGAGCTGCATTTCAACCACGCGTGAACAGTAGTTGATGTTGCGTAAGGACTTGCTTCAGCTTATGCAGGTGTGGCATACTTTTACCAGACATAAGCACAGGCAATGCTTTGTTGGGAAGGGTTCTGAATATTTTAGTGAAATGAAATATTATAATATTCTTGTGCAATTTAGAAAATAGTATAAAGATCATTCTTGTTCTGGTTGGAAAATGTTCGCCTAAATGTTCGAAAACGGTCGCAAATAATCGAACATTGTTTATACTGTAATCGCTTCCATTTTTATTCAATTTGGTTCTCAACACTATTATTTCTGGTCCCCGACAAAGTTCGCCACAGGGTACTGCGTACTCGGGTTCTCATTTCGCCTTTTGCTAAAAATATTCATCTTTAAGACATAAACGCTTACTGTTTCTTTTGTATGTGTTCCTATATATCTCTCTCGCTGTCTTTCTACACTTGTTTTCTCACCCATCCAAGTTATTTCATCCCACGCCAGACCACCAACGCACCTGTTTTCGGTGCGTAGCAATAATGGAAGCAAGAGACGAGAAGAGCACGCGATGGTTTATTATAGTGACAATCAATAATTTATTGCTCCTTCAGTAGGAAGTAATTAATCAAATTGTTTCTCAAGAATAATTTACCAAAAATCAATATTTCTATCATTAGTTTTGCTAGTACTTAAACATATATAATCCGCATATTGTTAAGCTGCCCGATTCTTGGCCGATTCCCTAGGGTGGGTGTGAGCCACAAATTTAGGACCTACACCTACAACTACATCTACAACTTGTTCTGTATGACACATGGCACACCTCGAGCATGACACCTCTGTCTGCGAACACTAGAGTCATCAGTGGAGTGATCACTCCTGACATCACTAGAGATTGTTTCTCTTCGATTAACTTATGCGACGTGTAACAATTTAGATATGGAAAGTATTATTCGAACAAAAAGACATAGCTTCTGCTTGTATAAGTTAGGGAAAATTTGAGAGCAGTAGTAGTGAAAGTTGGGCTGGTTTGGCGGTTCATAATTGGGTAGTAAAAAGTCCATGTTTGTGCGTTGTTGTCACTTCCTAAGGAAGAGCAGTTGTCTTCATTTTCGGGTTTTCTTGCTCTTAAAATCCTACGAGCGATATTATTCGCCCCTGTTGTTGTCTCATTGAAATTGCAGGTTGTATTGTCATTCTTCAGCGTAGCGCCTTACAGAGTTACTTTTTTATCATAATAAAACAGAATTGAAACCTGTTTTTGCGCGAGGAAGCTAGGCTGACGTAGGAATAAGCTCGCAATGGGATCTGCTGGTAGCTGTGAATAGCTGCTGTGCTAGTAACGCTCGCAATACTTCTTGAAGTACATGTCAAAAAAAAATATGGTACTGGCTGTTTCGGCATGAAGTAAATTACATTTTCAAATAAGAAGAACAAATTTAAATATCTTAGTAATGATGCGCTAAGCCAGGCATATACGGTAACCTGTTCACAATGCTTCTTTGCAGGGTTTTTCCGTGACATCATTGGATCATACGACCCCTTCTACCACATGATGGGTGCCCTCAATGCAACCATGGCTGGCTTATTATTCATGTTCTTCCTTTACGACTGGAGGCACGCGAGGAAACCATGATTGAAGCAGTGTGGTCACATCGATTGATAGACTAGCAACAAGTAGCTGTTGGTCGTACATTGTATCGCCTACAAGCAGTTAAACGCTCAAGATCTCACATTTGAGGCTTGTACCTTGCCATTATCAGCCATTTTTTTAGATTAAGAAGGCGAGGAGATTTTAGGGGAATGGGATAACTTATGTAAGGAAATTGTACGAGAATACTTTAAAATATAATGTTAAGATATTCCAATTTCGTTTCTGAAGTTTGAATATCAGGCATAAGCATGTCACAATCAAGATACACTACTTCTCATCAGATGGTTTATGTAAAAACATTCATCGCAAGATCAAAGCTGCCATAAAAACATGTTTTAGAGGCAAAGCGATGCATGACGTAGAGTATCTTTCAAGCAAATGGCAATTGCAATACAGTAGAAGTATTTGGTATAGTTGTATAAGTACATGCTACTCAGCCGTACTTCACCTTGATGTGGTCCTTTATAACCTCCTATGACATACTATGTTACCATATGGCACTATTTATTAGACAGTTGTGTTTAACTATTGAGTTCATAAGAAAGTGCAGACAGAGAGACAAGTAACTTTAATTAACTCCTGATGAACTAGCCGTGAGTAAAGTAAATCATTCATATCAACCTAACTTTTGTTATTCAGTGCGCCTAAACATAACACCGTTGAAATATAAATAATCCTACGTTTCAGAAGGTATATCACACTAAGTTCGACGCAACTAGCACACTGGGAACCATACAGCTAGCATTAAGCTTACTGATGTTTTTGGCTTCTTGTTTGAGCAGTAGTGCGCCGGTGACCTTTAAGAAATTAACCTCTTCACATGAGCGGCAAACATGTCCTTCTTCCATGGCGCAAAACTGCGCCTCCGAGTCAATGTATATAAACAGAAGGCAACACTGCTTTTGAATTATAGAGCAAAGGAACTAGGCTGAACAATACAAATATTGATGAGCTGCTAATATTGATTGAGTTGAAGATAACGTGCCAGTTTCCATCAGCGCCCAATAAATCGCATTGCCGTATGAACGTGAATCATTGCAATTTAGACTAGTCAAGTGTCATAAAAAGTTTTTGTTCACCAGCGTTGATAGGTACCCTCACAAGCCGATGTTTAACATGATTTTGAATAAAATAATGTTTATAGTGTTTAAGCGTATTTACTCATTAGTTAAATTGTGGCCTCATGATTTCTAAAGAAGGTCAATAATTGTACTGTTCTCGAATTTTTTAAATAATGAAAGTGTTCCATGGATGGATGAAAAACTTTTATTGGGGTCCTCAAGGATTCTACCACCATTTTATAGGGGTAGGATCGCGAGCCGCTACCACGTAGGGACAGGGAGGCCCAGCCTCACCACCGCATCGTGGGCCTTCTCGACAGCCTTGAGTTGTTGTATGAGAATCGGACTCGTGAGCATTAAATGAAAGGAGCTTTCGAAAAATTCTTCAGTTTTTCTTTGTAATGAGTGGCACCTCCGGCGCATGTGGGTAAAATCACTGCGATTGTGGCAGTCCGGACGAAGTTCTGAAGTATCGGAGTAATGGCTATAGGTTCACGAGGCTAGGGTATGTTCCCGTCTGAAGCATGCGAAAAAAGATTGGCTGTGGCCTAGACAACTTTTCGTGTGGCAATGCGAAGGACCAAGGGCCTAATTGATAGTGCTTCGTTATCTCGTTGAAGGTAGTCAAAATGTCCCTAAAATGAAGGTTGGGGGCTGATTCCTCTGTCTGAGAAGCACATGTTCCGGCGCGGTAAGTGAAGCCTCGCGCCTTAGAGTGGGCTAGCTCGTTGACATTAGGAAGGCCCCGACCTTCAAGTCAAGGTGAGCAGGGAATTAAATAAAGGTGTGGTGGGTGAGTTCCTTGTGAGCGAGAGTTCTAAAAACTTCCTTGAACACGGAATTAAATGCGAAGGCTCTATAGCAGCGCATGATAAAAAATAGAAGCCATGTCACTAGGAAGACTGCACTGTCCACGTGCGATAACTACTAGCCCACTACCGGTGTTCTTTCACAAGTAAACGTTTTAGTAGGCCTGATATCGACCGTGGTTTTTTTTCTTTCTCTCCAGCAGGCAGCAGTTGCATCTCGCACTGCATCGAACTGGTAAGTCACCCTTGTACAATGTCAATGAAGTGCTCCAGTAAATAAAGAGCAGTGTTGCTCGTTCGCATTCAATACGTCATCATTGGGCCGACTTTTACGAAGTCTAGTAAGTTCAACAAGGTTGTCCTGTCACCACTTCTTTAGTTATTCATGAAAGAGATTACTGCGGCCCGACCAAGTTCGTGTCACATTGCATGTTTCAAGTATACTACAAGTTGGCTGTGTATGACATAATTTACAAATTTGTAGACACTCATCTTATCCATGGAAACCTAATCCCTCCCACCGCTATGCACTCCACTACAAATAATTTGCACTTTCTTTAATATAGGGGCTGTAACTTACACTCGAAAGTAGCCTATAGGCAAGAACAAGTCGGGTAGGACCGTTTATTTTATCTACAATCCACCGCCAAGGTCACTCAAAAATTTCCAAGACAAACGCTTTTTTTTCGCATACATACATCAGCAAAAAGACACAGTGTGTTGTTGTAAAATACCAGCGCTGCACGGTATTACACTACAAATAAAAACAGAAACAAACTGACATTTAGAGATTTACTATGCGGAGTTTGAAAACATCGTACACCACGGGAAAAAGTACGCGGTTTTTTTGTAGATAAAGCTACAGTTTCCAATTACATGTCGACTTATTTTCTTTTTCTTATCACCGTAGCAGCCATGTGTAGAGGCGAAGGCGGCCCACCGTTACCGCGAGCTGCACTTTTTTTTTCAATCTGTGCGTGCTGTTTTCGTCCACTGGTGGTGCTAATAAATGAAAAACTGGAAGCAACAGCTGGGAAAGTCACGAGGGTTGCACGTACAAGCATGTAACCCCAAGAGCTCCTTCATTGGTAGACAGTGTAGGAGCGGCGGTCACGAGCGCATCTATTGTTTCACCATATATTGCGCCTATTGTAGCGCACAATCACATATTATAGCGCACCATCTAAGTGTCATATATTGCTTATGATGGTCGCGGGTGCACTCTGGGCCCGCGGCAGCCGCTGGAAGCAGGCAGTTGGAAACGAGGCTTAAAGAGACAAACAAGGTTCCTGGTCTGGCTGCATGCTTTTCTTGCGGTATGCTGGGCAGAGCAGCCTCGAAACCTTGCAGCAGTGAGCAATATATTTGGGTTAAAGATCTTGCTCAAGAATAAGAAGCACATGCATAAGAGTTTCACGCTTCTGTGGTAAAATAACGAAGAATGGACGTCAAGATTGATGCACCACATATCTCTTAGTCCTTTGAGTGTTCTCCTTTTATGACCCCATAGACACCTTTCAGCAAGTTTTTGTCATTGTGGCGATACGCAAGGAATCTCCTGTGAAGGACTCCGAAAGAAAATAAGCGAAAAGAAAAAAGAAAGAGATGATATAACTAAAGTGATAATGAAGCTGACAGCTTCAGTTATGTTGGAGACTCAGGGTAGAGCTGCAGCATTGCTTTAACGCTGCAGCAGTGCCATGCGGCACATCTGCTGCAAAATGTGCACTTTCCGGCAAGTTTCGTTCTATGTGGCGCCATAAACATCGTTATCTCAGTGCCAGTCATAGCGGACACATTTTATGTAAAGCAGTCCGAGAAGGAGCCGCAAACCTCTCATTTTTTTGTGTTCTTGTTTGGTGTTCTGAGCTCGTGCCGCTGTACTTTTTCTTAATAATTGGTTTATACCTGAATTACTCAATCGAGTGGTAGGTTTTGTAGAACGAGTGTTTAAATCAGCGTTATCTTTCGATTTTGTCATCATTGTACATTGATACTGTCTGTACTCATTGACTGATTGTTTATGTATTTTTTCATCTCTCTTCAAAAATTTTTGTGTTTCGTTTAATTATGTGCTACTCTTCCCCTAAATCTACTGTATGTGCGTTGAGGGCACTTCAAATATATAAATAATTATAATGAAATTGGAGCTTCTGGGCACCTGAAAACGATTGCCCCTATTGCATGCAGTGCTGTACTATACGAGAGAAAGATTGGTCGGAGTGTGCCAGTAAGTATCTGATAGAATATACGAACGAGCTTCGATATGACCTAATACAGTGGTCAGTCTTTCTTAAACGGCTCACCACCAAGCATATATGACCAACTTGGGGAAGTTCCTAATTATTCATGATCTGCCTGAGTTTTCTAAGGTCACATTGAGAAATGCACACATTTGATAGTTAAGATGGCTTATCACAAACACGTTCAAGCACGAACAAATAACTAGTGTTGTCTGAATTAGTTTAATAAGTGCATGCATGCCACTAAATAAAGTATATGGCGAGTGGTACATAATGCGTCCTTAAAACCGAACAGTTAACTGTCAACACAAGTCTTCCGGCCTAGATTGTTCTTGTTCTTCGGGTGCCTATCTATCTATCTATCTATCTATCTCTTTATGTATCTACCTATCTCTATATCTATCTATCATCCTACACCAAGGTGTTCTCGTGATTATCTGATCATCGCATAAATAACGTGGAAATGCCTTATATACCGTCATCACCCTTTCCTTGCAGACGCGAATCGCCCATTCCTGTGTACCACCAGTCCGAGGTATAGGACTATGCACCTGATGCCAATGACAGTTTATATCGACCTAGGAAGGGTGAAAACAGACCTAAGTAATTTGAGGGCGAGTGTTAAAAAACTGCTATAGACAGCGTTTTCCACAACCACAACAAATAAATGTCATGGTCCCCGCAGAAATCAAGCCCAAGCTTTACTGTGCACATTAACTATTGCACCTACAACACCACGCCAGGTCTCACCGCTGTTTTCGAAAAAGACCTATGCAGGCTTTTTTAAATAGAAAATAAACAAAGAAGTTTTTGTCACTGTTGCTTGGTGACGGCTACCCCTTTCCACTTAGATGGTACACATAAAAGTATGAAAAAACAATAGCATATATTCATATATACAGTCCTACATGGGTGAGAGCAAAAGTTCTCCTATTTGGGCAGAACAAACACATAGACGACACGCTCACTTTTAACTTTTGTCCGCTCAGTATTCGTCACAAATCTTCGTTTCTTCGAAAAACTGTTGCAGCACCTTCTTTGCTTTGCTGTTTGTTTTGGATGGCCGTGGACCTCGTATTTTATTCAACCCGAATGGCCACACGGGCTCTAACCTATGCAGTTCCTGTTTCAGTCGCCTTCGGTGTGTGTCGTGTTTCGGACAGTCGAGCAAGAGGTGACAGATATCTTCGTCACCGTGGCCGCATGAACATGCTGACGGTGTTGCACGCTGAATACGAAGTAGGAATTGCTTTGTGTAAGCAGTTCCGAGTCGTAGGTGATGTATGAGTGTGTCGATTCGTCTTGGAAGTCACGGTCTAATTGGTATTCAAGATTAGGATCAACAGAATATAGAATCGATTCCTTTGTTTTGTCTGTGAACCAGGTAGACAGGCATAATTCACGTATTGTTGTTCTTAAATCCTATTTACATCATAATAGATACCGGAATAAGGCACGTTTGCGTAGAAGTAAGAGCGGTTTTCGCCAACTCATCCGCCATTCGCTTCTCTTAATTCCGCAGTGACTGATAACCCACTGAAATGCCACTCAATGATTTGACTTCGTAGCGAGCTCTTTTAGTATAGCGTATATTATAAGCACATCAATGTGTCTTGAAGTGCATTTTCACACATGCCAGTGCTTCCAGAGAGTCTGTAATTACCACCAATTTTCTTGGTGTCGTTGATAGTATAATAAAGCTTATAGCTAGAAAAATCGCTACGAGGTCCGACGTTGTTGAAGAGGAGAGGGGGCCCAACCGACATGCATATTCTTCGTGCAATTCCGGAATTATCAGTGCTGATGTCGCTGTCTCTTTGGTGACGGAAGCCGTCAGTGTACACGTGAGTGTATCCTTGGTAACTGTCAAACAGATGATGTGATGCCAACTGCTGTGGCGGCAACGGTTGACATTTCATGTTAGCTCAAAATTCCTTCTATTGACGTTTCAATAGTTTGGTAGGTCCAAGCAGCCATGGAGGGTCGTGTTTGGTCCATTGGCCAATGTGTCGACACAAGAAGCCGGGAAATTA